GCCTGCTGCTTCTCAGTAGTGAAGGTTTTGATCCTGTAACTGACAGCATGTTAGCGGACAAGTGTTGCTCTAGGGAGACTGTTGAAAGAGGTGCAAGGAAAGACTAGAGATTAGAAAAATCACCTTTTAATGATAGCCACAGCATATGTCACTACTGAAGTCCTCCAGGCATTCAGGTGCGCCTTTTTCTTCTGCTCTTCCTCCTCAGCAGCATCGCCCTGACCAGCTGATGACTCTGTTTTGTGCAATGTAGGTATAAATATGTGCTGAAAGCCTGCTCCAGTCACAGCCCAGCTCCTTCCAGCACTGTCACCTTTTGCAGTGAAGGCTCGTACTTATTTCTGAGAAATATTTTGCAAATCTGATCTTACATGATTAGTGTGTCCCAGATCTTTATTTGCCTAAAGAATCAAACAGAGCTCAAAATACTGGATGACCACAGGAGCCTGCATGCTGTGACATACAGCCTGCCCTAAACCTTCACCCAGACTGCGTTCTGCTCTGCAGAGTGAAGTAGAATTGCTGCTCAGGTAGTGCTCACCTTTCCTCTTGTGAGACACCACCAGAGTGCCATTGGTGAGACAACACCTATACGGTAGGCTAAAGTGTAACAATTATATTTTTAACATTCCAGCAGTTTAGTCTCTAACTACTGCGTGCCATACTACATGCTGTAAGGATAAATACTGTAAAACTGTAAACTGCTATGTACCACTATACAAAACACGTTATGATATTACGCTACGAGTTTCCACAATTTATATCGGGAAAAGAAGGTCCTGCACACCCTCTACTGCTGGCCACCCTTTTCCATCCCCACTTAATCTGTTCTCTTGTACAACCCAGTGTTTTGTGAGACCAGGCAATGCAAAATTTGAATAGTGTTGTCTAACTATATTTATTAGTATTCAATTTTGTTACAAGCTTTTGCCTGGATCTGTTCTTACAGTTGTTCCCAAGTGCAAGCACAAACACTCCTGCTGGCCTAAGGGAAGGGAAGGCATGGGATTGAATGAGCAGTGGCAGTGAGGGAACAGATTTTAGGATAACATTGGCTTACACAAGACTCAGGTGCTTGTAGAACTGCTATCTAAAGACAATGGCAAGTTTTTTGTGCTTAGTGTGCAGCTGCTTTCAGCTTTTTCGGGTTATCCAAGTCAAATCATGTTGCGGTTTTGGCCTATAAGGTAGGATTTGGACCACGGTATATACAGAAGTAATAAAAATGAAAAGTCAGTTGCTACAAGGCAGCTGCATAAAAGGTATCCAAGTATTAAAATGAGGCTGAAGGTTTAGTTAAAACTTTGTGAATTATTAAAACAAAGGTTTAGAAACTAGTCTCAAAGTCCCTGCGTGTTTCTTATTCAATATTCATCCAGTTTACATAGCTTTAGCACCACAGATGCCAACGCAAGATGAGAACCAGCGTAATCGGTCCTCACGCCCTGCAGAGGCTCTGCAAACTGACTGTGCACAAAGACTGTAAGCAGCTGATAAAACCATGGTGCACTAAGACTGGGCACCAGTAATCTTGCTAGGGTGCTATATTTACTCAGTCTATATTGGCAGTAATCTGTAAGAGGTTTAAAGCGGCTCTCAGAGGAAGAGTTGGTTTGAATGATCACTGTTGGGAAGCGAGAATGAACATTTGGATGAATAAATACTGAAAAAGGTTACCTGGTATGTTTGATGCTATGGGTGCTGCTGGATCAGCGGATGACATTAATGCTATGGAAATTCACCATTGGTACACAAAATTTATGAAGGAGTGTCCATCTGGACAACTTTGTCTGCATGAATTTAAACACGTCCTGGATCTACATGGACTTACTCCAGAAGCTAACAGCTATGTTGAACAAGTATTTCACACGTTTGACATGAATAAGGTAAGAATTCATTCGTAACTTCCTGGCTTTCTTACGGCTACATCATTTGATGCATTCAGCGACATGTCTCAGAGTGCTGGCAATGCTGCCTATTCAGAGGTAATGGGAGTGATTCAGAGGTGATTCAATAGAACACTCTGGGCAAATAAACGTGAGTGGCAGGCAAACGGTTTGAATGCTCTGTTCCCAGTATGTTGTGCCATTTTGAAAATTGCATACAGTCATTCTAATACATGTTGAATAGCTTCTCATCTTTGAAACCCGGATTTTTATTATTACTTTCACCGTGTGTTAATAATTGGAAGTTTTATTTATATAACTCTGCTTGAAAAATCTATTTTAAAGCAGCAAGTGTTTGGCTGGATCCTTAGGTATTAATGCTTTAAGAATATGCAACATAGGCACAATATGATTCCTTCTGTTGCCAAATAAAATATTGCTGGATTCATTCCAAGCATCTTGTATGGCTTAGTTTGGTATCAATCAATCCCCCTTTTCCAAAGACACATCTATCTGCTTTTGATCCATTATTCCAAATTTACTGCTTAGCATCCTAGGTCATCCCAAAGGCGTCCAGGAGCTGTTAGTTGCATTGCTGTCTTGCGTTCTTCCAACACAGTGTTCATACGGGCTCCTTCTAGGCATGAGACCCATCCAGAAGACTCTGCCTTGTTATTTTCCCCTTAAACCAAAATAACACGTTTTATCAAATCCTACAAAAAAAGTGGAGAGTCATCTGTAATTCTTATAAAAGTGTTTATCCTCGACTGAAATAAGGTTTAGGCTGAATTGTCAATACTACACAATCAAAGTCTGCTTCTAGCTAATAGAACAGATGGGCCCATCATGGTATAAAAAATTTTAAAAGAAAAAAAGAAAAAGCATTAGTGTTCTCTACCCACGCCATTGATCTCAATGAATTCAGAAATGTAATGAAACGTTATTAGATTTCATGAATGTCTTTAGTGGCAGGTTAAAACTGGTCTAAATTGTAGCCAGAACTACTCCAGACAGTTTCAATTTCCAGAAATGGCCTTTCTATTCTTTATTATGAAATTGATTATATTTGTTTCAGAAAATATTGAGACTATAAGGTACCTTGTGTGTTTTTACATCCAACCTCTAATTTCTTGTATGGTGCCCAGTAGGCTAAGGATTCCCAGAGTCAGTACCTTTGCTAAACCATTTTCTTGTTATGCCTATTTCCACCCCCACCCCCAATTCAGCTTCCTTTTTTGGTATTCTGCAATTCTTTCTTACATAATCTTCAAGTACTGTTCCTATAAAATTAGGCTCATTGCATGCTTTTTTTCTCCCCTCCTGCCCCCCCTGCCAATTACCAGATGGTTAAATGTACTGGAATTTGATTAAGTAGCATCACCTAACTCAATGAATGTGCTAATTACAGATGATGAACAAACTTTTAGTCTGTAAACATGGAATCTAACTGGCAGAAATTGTCAATTTAGTGTGTTCTTTTCAATTAATAAATCGATGCATTATGTTCCCCAGTAAAGCTTTAATCAATGCTAACTTTCTTGGGTAACACGCATGGACAGTGTCTGAGCTCATCTAAGAGCTTTTTCATTTTAGCTTTAATCTGTGCTGCCCTTGACATTTCAGTGTTCTTGAAAAATATTTGGAAATATTTCCAAAATTAATTTTAGACAAATACTTTCAAAGCGACTAGTGACTTGAGGATGTTTCAGAAAATCAAGCCTGCAGCTGGTTTTAGTTACTCCTCAGAAAACTGGAATGTGAAATAAATACTTCCTGCAAATCAGGCTACTGTCAAGATGACAGCATACCAGTGCAGGACAAACCACAGGCATAGGGAAATCATTTGCCATGAGATAGGTGAGGGTGTGGAGAGGGAAGAAAAAAGTACCTTTCAAATACTTTTGCGCCAACAGAAACATCTAGGAGAACTTGCCACTACTGCTGATACTGGTCTATATATTTGAAAATATCTATTGTCCTCAGTAAATGGTGCATCCAGTACAGGTGGAAAGTGCAGAATAAATTAGAGACAAACTTTCAGGGCACGGTTGCTCTTTACCACCTAACTCCATTCAGCTGTTGCTACTATTTGTAGTTTTTTTAATACTACATGTCATCAAACTGTAACAATTTCTTCACTTGTTTATATTACTTATAGTATTGAAAATGTGCATATAGGTGCTGTATTGAGAACGTGCATATAGATGCTGGCATTTGCTTTTTACGTACTTCATGCGTTACAAGCCAACATGTTACAGTTGTGAAGAATACTTTCTATGTCTAGGTTATTTAGAGTACCTTTCTGGAAGGAAAAAAATATTTTGCAGAAGTAGCTAGTCACTCCGTATGAAGGCAAGCTTTTGGTG